TGCTCCGCCCTCGGGAGCGAGCGGGGGGGGAGGTGGTGATCGCGGCAATTTCACGTGGTGCAGGTTCAGGCGGGAACGCCTCGACGCCCAGTCGCCCACTGATCGCCGACAGGGGCCCGATCGCCCTCTCCGCCCAGGACCGCGCGGATCCGCCATCGGGGGCCCCTCCCAGGAGGGGAAAAAACACAGGCACAATTAATCGACGATTCCCCACAAAATGGGAAAATATGGGAAGTGGGGGGGAAGACGAAAGCCCCAACAATATTGGAAAATATGGGGAATATTTTTACTTGTGTGTATGTATTTGTGTGTCCTGGGGCCCCTTCGTACTCCTCGAACAGGCGGGGGTCGGTACGGTCGAAATGTACATGGGCACGAAAGCCAGCAGCATCTCCTGTCCATTTGAGCAGGCCTCGCGGTCGGTGTCGCCGCGGACGTATAGAGCATTCGAGGCAGAAGGCCGCCGGCGCAACAGTGGCCGCTGTCGCTTTGGCGCAACACTTGCTGCTGGGCATCGTGCCCGCTTTTTCCGTACCCATTTCGGGCGTCCAAAGGGGGGACAACACACAGACACTATTCATCGTCGACCCCCAGGAACATATGGAAACATATGGGAAATGGGGGGGACGACGATCACCCAGAAAATACTGGAAAATTATTAAAATCTTGGGATTTGTGTGTATTTATTTGTGTGTCCCTGGGCTTTTTTAGTCCATATGGGGGGAGGTGATGAGGAGCAGGGAGGCGTAACGTGCAGCGCCGAGCAGGACGCGCAGGAGAAGCAGGCAGGGGAAGTGGGCAGAGGGCACGCACATCGCGCACGCGCTAAGGAGCGAGAGAGGCCGAGGAGAAGGAGGGAGGAGCAGGAGGAGGAGGAGCAGGAGCAGGAGGAAGAGGAGGCGGAGGAGGAGGAGGGAAAGGAGGCGGACGCCGAGGAGGAGGAGGAGGAGGAGTGAGTGAGTGCGTGAGGGATGAAAGGAGGAAGGGAAAAAGATAGGAAGGGATGGAGGCATGCAGGAGGAGGAGGAAGAGGAGGATGAAGAAGAGGAGGAGGAGGAGGAGGTGGAGGAGGAAGAGGACGACAAGAAGGATGATGGAAGAGGAGGAGCAGGAGGAGGAGGAAGCACTAGCGTACAGTGCCCGCTTCGGGGACGTCCCGCGGTGCATGTCCAGAGCCTGTTCTGTTCGAGGCCATCTTGGGCCGTCTCGGGGCTTTCTTGGGCTGTCACGGAGCTATCCTGGGGTCACTGTGCTGGCCCTGGTGGCCGGTCTGGGCTGTCTTCAAAGCCATTCCGGGCCTCTCAGACGCCTTGGAGAGCGCCAGGGAGGCGTCGCGGTACCCAAGGAGCCTCGGGAAGAGGGAGTGATGCATGCCGCCGGATGCGACCAGGAGTTGGGGGGCCCTTCAGAAGATTACAGAGACCTGGCCAAGTAGCGCGTGGGATTCTACCACGCCTCGGTTTGCCAGGGGGGCACAGGTTCGGATCTTCCGCCCCATGCCCTTCGTCATCGGCCACGCGGCGGGGACAAACAGGCCGCGCGAGGACGCGCCTCGTGCAAGCCCTGCGTGGCCGGCCGCAGAATCCCTGGCCGCGCCAGAAGTTTGAGGCCGAGCCTGTTGGCCTGGTGGTGCCCTCCTCCCTCGCCTGCCCTGCAGCCGTGGCGCGTGCCCGCCGTGTCCAGGTCCCCCCCGGCAGTCGTGCGCTGCGGCCTCGGCCGGAGAGCCGCCAGTCTTCAGGGCGGCCCCGCCGAGGGCGCGGAGCTGCTGCCGCACGCTGCGGGGCGCGGGGGCGCGCTGCGCCAGGCTTGCAGTGAGCGGCTCGAATGAGGAACACTTCCTTTTCAAGAGGGGCTCGGTCGTTCCTTAGGTTTGCATGCGTGCTGCTACCCTTTCTGGCGGCGAGCCCCCCTGATGTTCCTTCGGACTTCGTAGACCCACTTGGAACGACAGGGGGCTTCGTTCCTTGTTTATCGTTCCTTAGGTCAGGCCGATGACTGTAGGTGGCCGAGCTTCCTCTCTCGGGCCGCCGCTCGCCGCACAAGCTTGCCCAACTGCAAGGCGGCCCGCGTGGCGCGCGCCACCAGGCTGCTTGCCTATTTTTGTTTGTTGCTTTGGCCCGCCCTGTCGCGTCGTGACAGCCGCGCCGCGCCGAGTTCCGTGGTCGCGCCGCCCTCCCCACCTCCACAAAGACTGCGGCAGGAGCATGCTGCTCGGTGTTGCGGCGCCCCCGGCGCTGTGCGCGCGCGTCTCAGGGCGTGCCATGTGCCCTGAGATGCGCGCGCACTGTGCCTACGCAACTGGCACTTGCCGCACGTGCCAGCTGCACAGGCGGGCGCCGATCCACTGGCGGCCGGGTGTTGGTGGTGCGTTCGACGCGCAGTTGACGGCACGTCATCGGCACCATCCAAGCAATCGTAGTTAGACTAAGTGTGCGTGGGCCCCCAGGGGCGATGCGTGCGTTCAGGAAATTTGCTCGTACATGCTCGTTGGCGGGCGCTTTCTGGCCATACCGTTAAGTCGGGCGTGCCCCTCCACAGGAGGAAGACTCAAACATAGGAAAAAAGTAGCCTGGGAAAAAGTGTTCGATTATTTGTTTGACAACTGTTTGATTATTTGTTGAGTATGTCTATTTTGTTCGTCGAAGATCCGCCTGTAGGGCGACATGCTCGACCTAATACTATTACATGTCTGCGCAACATGCTCGCATCCGACGTGCGCCTCCATGGCGGGCGCACAGTGCTAGCCTCCGAGGAGGGTGCACAGCACCAGTGTGTCCCGAGGGCCGACTCGAGGGCGCACAGCACCAGCCTCCAAGGGGGGCGCACAGCACCAGCACGTCCCGAGGGCCGCCACGAGGGCGCGAAGTGCTTCCGCGCCTCGCGGCCTGCTCCCCTCCTCGATCCTCCTCCTCCTTCTGGTTCCTGGATCCCGGTGGCTGGAGAGGACGTCGTTCTTGGCCTCCCCCTTTCTCGTTCTCCTCCTCCTCCTCCTCCCTCCTCCTCCTCCTCCTCCTCCTCCATCCTCCTCCTCCTCCTCCTCCTCCTCCTCCTCCTCCTCCTCCTCCTCCTCCTCCATCCTCCTCCTCCTCCTCCTCCTTCCTCCTCCTCCTCCTCCTCCTCCTCCTTCTCCTTCTCCTCCTATTCGCCCCCCGGGGAAGGCGTCGGCACGAGAGCGCGAGGGGGTTTGTTGCTCGCGCAGCGCGCAGCGCGAGCATGGCCGCCCTTCGTGTCGCAGCCTGCGCCCCTTGTGAGCTTCACGCCCCGCATGCGCACGGGCCCCCCCCCGCCCGCGGCGGAGCGCGCGCGTCTGCGCCGAGCCGCGGGCGGGAGGGCGCGTGGCAGCCACCACGGGTGCTGCAGCACGCCCCCTCGCCAGCGGCAGCGCTGATCGGCGGCAGCCCGACCCCAAGAGGGACGGACAGGGACCGACCACGACGACGGCGACGACGGCGACGATGACGACGCCGACGACGGCGACGCCGACGACGGCGACGCCGACGACGACGACGAGGGCGACGACGAGGACGACGACGACGACGCCGACGCCGACGACGACGACGGCGACGACGACGACGACGACGACGACTGCCGACGACGACGACGACGACGGCCCCCCTACCCGCTGCCCGTCCCTCCTCCCCAGGCACGCTCGCGGCGTAGGAAACAACAACCACGGCGGGAGGCTTTGTTTTGGGGCCATGGTAGGTCTCGAGCGGCCCTCGTCGGTCCCTGGGGACCGTTCGTTAAAACGATTCAGGATGTGAGTCGAGCGGTGGCGAAGCGTCCTGACTTGCCTGCATGCCCACCAAAGAATGTTCCAAGAACCTGGTCTGCACGAGAGGTTCTTAGACCATTCTGGTCTAGGCTGCTCTGCTTGAACACATGGGCTTATGCTCTGAGAACAGAGTTGTTGCTCTTAAGAATATTTCGTGGTAGGCCTGTTGGAATGCCGGGACGAATGATCCCTGTTCAAATGAAAAGCGGGTCCGGAAGAGAGGGTCGAGATCTTTCGGGACCGCGCATCGAACAACCTTACCTGCGTCTCCCGCCACCTCCTGTTCCTGCCCGCCTCCCCCCCCATCCTTCCCTTCGCCTCGCCCGTGCCCCGCCCCCCCATATCCGCCCATTCCGCCTGACGTTCCTTATTCTCCTTTTCGTCCTCCCCCCGTGATCGCCGCCGCCGCCGCCACCGCCGCCGATGACGCCGTTGCCCTCGACGCGGTCCTCAACGTCGCCGTCGTTGACGTCCTCCACGCCCTCAGCGTCGTCGTCGTCGTCGTCGTCAAGCCAACGCATTCTTCGGCCAGCGACCCCCTCTCGCAGGTACTGTGAGCATCCCAGTGGTTTCTTTTTGCTTGTTTTTCCTTTTCCTGCGCTGCTTAAGGAAGGCACAGCGTTGGTAAAAAAACTGAGGCAGTAACGATCTTGACACAGCTCCTGGAGTTGTTGAGTTGAGTCGTCGTCAGCCAGTATCGCCTAACCGGTCCCAGTTCCCACTGGGAGTGGCATCTCAGCCCCATCATCCCTCCCCCCTGTTGGGGATAGGTCCCGTGCGACACGAAGGGAACAGCATGTATTCCACCTAGGGTTAGATCACCCAGTGGGGCCAAGGCCACGCTGGTGGGGATGGGGATCGGTTAAGCGATGCTCAGTCAACGTCGTCAACGGTCTTATCTCCCCCGCGCCGCCGCCGCCCATTCCCCAGGAAGGGGCGGAAGGGGGGGAGAGGAGGGGGAGGCGGAGGCGGGGGAGGAGGGGGACGAGGGGAAGTGGGAGATGGGCGTGGAGGGTGAGGATGAGGAAAAAGAGGAATGGGGAGGGGGAGGAGGAGGAGGAGGAGGAGGAGGAGGAGGAGGAGGAGGAGGAGGAGGAGGAGGAGGAGGAGGAGGGAGGAGGAGGAGGAGGAAGAGGAGGAGGAGGAGAAGGAGGAGGACGAGGAGGAGGAGGTAGAGCAGCTGAAGCACGAGCTGCCCCCTGGGCGGGGGGGCCCTGTCGCCGAGGCCCTGCCGCCAGCTCGGAGCCGCTGGCGGCGGCGGTCGCTTCGCCGCCGTCGCCGGCGGCCGCCACGCCGGTGGCGGCCTCCTCGGAGGCCCGCGGGGGTCGGAGGTGACGGCAGGAGCGGAGCACCACTCCGGCCTCCTAGATGGGGTCGCAGTAGGTGCGGTCGGAGGATCGCTCCGCGTGGCCGATGCATCGGCGATGCGGCTCGATGCGGAGCCCGCTTTCCTCCACGCAGCGCCGATGCATCGCCGACGTGGGCGATGCATCGCCGATGCATCGCCGATGCATCGCCGATGTATCGGCGATGTATCGCCGATGCGGCGCGATCCTCAGACCCCCATCTGGGAGGCCTCTACAGACTTACGTTTACGTCGGCCAGAGCCTCGCGAATCGGAAAGGGGGAGGGTCGGCTTTTCTGTCCACTGCCAATTCATTTCAGGCCTGCTCCTCGCATGTGGCAGCGGAGCACATTTTGCTCAGGAGGCGTGCTCCGAAGGACGCGCGCCTTCATCCAGAGTGCCCTTGTGTCCTTGCCTCTGCGGCCCGTGCTTTGCCGTTTTCAGTGGTCGCCAATGGGGCGGGCATTCAACACCCCGCAGTTGCGGATAAGAGTGTGGGGGCGGCGGGGGGGTTTCTGCGAGGCTTTCAATGAGCCCGCCGCAGGCGCCTAATCTGTGCAAATCATGGCACCAGCCCGCCGCAGGGGCTGATTCTTCGTTAAGGCAATGTGGGTGCGTCGCGGGGTTGGTCGCGGGTGGGTCGCGGTTGGGTCGCGGTTGTTTCGCGGCTGAGTCGCGGCTGGGTCGCGGTCCGCGTCGCGGGTGGGTGGCGGGCTGGGTCGTTGGTGGGTCGCGGGTGGGTCGCGGTCGGGTCGCGGGCGGGTCGCGAGCGGGTCGCGGGTGAATCGCAGGTGGGTCGCCGGCTGTGTCGCGGGCTGTGTCGCGGCCCAGGTCGCGGGTGGGTCGCGGTTGGGTTGCGGGCCGGGTTGCGAGCCGGGTCGCGGGGGGGACGACGACAACAAACAACAACAAGCAACAGCAACAGCAACAAGCAACAAACAACAAACACTAAACACTAAACACTAAACAACAAACATCAAACAACAAACAGCAAACAACAAACAACAAACAACAAGCAACAAACAACACACAACACACAACAAACAACAAACAACAAACAACACATAACAAATAACAAACAACAAACAACAAACAACAAACAACAAGCAACACACAACAATCAACAATCAACAAACAACAATGACGACAACAACAACAACAACAACAACAACAACAACAACAACAACAACAACAACAACAACAACAACAACACCACCACCAACAACAACAACAACAACATCATCAACAACAACAACAACATCAACAACAATGACCCGCACCGCAGAGCCTTACTTCAGCCACGCGCCCAGGGACAGTGAATGACCGTTCGGTACCCTCACTCGGATCGTATTATCTGCCCGGTGTCGTGCTGCTCCCACCCCTCCAGGGAGGCCGTCAGAGCGCGCAGGGTCTTCAACACACCCATATTCTCTCTTAGGTTTCGTCCCCTCGAACCCCTCCAAGGAGGCCCCGCCAGAGCGGGCAGGGCATTCGAATACCATACCGTTGACAAGATTTCGTGGACCAGAGCAGGCACGGCATTTCCGAACCATATTATTTACCGGGTGTTGTGCCCCTCCCCTCCCTCCAGGGAGGCCCCACCAGAGCGGGCAGGAGATTCGATTACCAGATTCTTTACGCGTTGGCCCCGCCAGAGCGCACAGTGTATGCGAATATCATACTATTTGCCAGGTTTTGTGCCCCTCCGACCCCTCCATGGGGTGCCCGCCAGAGCAGGCAGGGTTTTCGAACATCATACTATTTGCAAGGTTCTGTGCCCCCTCCGCCCCTCCATGGAGGCCCCGCTAGATCGGGCAAAGTATTCGAATGCAATACAATTTATCTGGTGTTGTGTGTTGTGCTCCTTCCACCCCTCCAGGGTAACCCGCCACAGCCGGCAGGGTATCACAATACCATCATGTCAAAGGTTTCGTGTCTTTCTCTCTAGTGTCGTACCCCTATACCTGAACGGCATAGGCCTTTCTTGCTCGCTGGTATTGTTGCACCTCGTTGGTTCTTCGAAGCCTTTAGTATCCTTGATGGGGGAATTTCGATAACACATGTTTTACGTTTTGGAGGTTTCGTCGTCAGGGGGGTGTTTCGGACATTTGAGGTGACGTTTTGAGGCACGGGAGGTGGGGGTTTACAGGCTTCCGCGGTGGTCGTCGCCGTCGTCGTCTCTCTTCCTGCTGCCCTCTTTTTGAGGAGGAGGGAGAGTAAGGGGAGGGAGATGGAGGAGGGTGTGAAAGACGAGGAGCGAGGCAGGGGCAGGGAGAAGGCGAAAGGAGGAGGAGGGGGAGGGGAGAAACAGGGGGGAGGGGAGAGATGTGGGCGGAGAGGATGGATGCGAGAGGGAAGGGGGTGAAGGAGGGAGGAGGGGGAGGATGGAGGAGCGGGGATCGCGGCGGGAAGAGATATAGGCGAGCGAGGAGGGAGATGGAAGGATGGGATGTGGGGTGGAAGGGCAGGAGGGAGAGTAGGAGGGTCATGAGAGGGGTCTGACAAATTATCATGGCGAAGGACCCAACCAAATGAAGTTATGGACACCGAAATTGTTAATATCTTCTTCGGTGAAGCTCCCTTTGGGGCCACGAAGCGCTGCACTGGGTGGGGGGTGACCGCATGTGGGCGGTCCCACTGGGGGCTTCGGTGGAGCTCCCTATGGGGCCACGAAGCGCTGTACTGGGTGGGTGAAAATGCCAAATCGTGTGTGTGTGTGTGTGACACATGCGGACGGTCCCACTGGGGCTTCGGTGGAGGCCACGAAACGCTGTACTGGGTGTGCGAAAATGCCAAATTGGGTGTGCGGGACGCACGCGGACGGTCCAATTGGGGGCTTCGGTGGAGCTCCCTATGGGGCCACGAAGCGCTGTACTGGGTGGGTGTAATTGCCGAATTGGGTGCGCGGGGCGCATGTGGGCGCTCCCACTGGGGGCTTCGGTGGAGCTCCCCATGGGGGCCACGAAACGCTGTACTGGGTGTGTGAAAATGTCAAATTGCGGGTGCGGGACGCATGCGGGCGGTCTGACTGGGGGCTTCGGTGGAGCTCCCCATGGGGCCGCGAAGCGCTGTATTGGGTGAATGAAAATGCCAAATTGGGTGTGCGGGACGCATGCGGACGGTCCCATTGGCCACGAAACGCCGCATTGGGTGTGGCGCAAGCATGTGGCCATCCCTTCTGAGGCTTCCGATGGAGCTTCCTATGGGGCCACGCAATGTTGTACTGGGTGTGGCGGACGCATGTGGCCACCCGCACTGGGGCCTTCGGTGGAGCTCTCTATGGGGCCACGAAACGCTGTACTGGGTGTGTCGGACGCATGTGGCCACCCCCACTGGGGCCTTGGGTGGGGCTCCCTATGGGGCCACGAAGCGCTGTCTTGGGTGTGGCGAGCTCCCTCTGGGGTCACGAAACGCTGTACTGGGTGTGGCGTACGCATGTGGTACCCCCACTTGGGCCTTACGTGGAGCTCCCTATGGGGCCACGAAGCGCAGACTCATGTGGTACCCCACTGGGTCCTTACATGGAGCTCACTATGGGGCCACGAAACGCCATACTGGGTGTGGCGGACGCATGTGGTACCCCCATTTGGGGGGGGGGGGGGCACGGGAGGAGGAGACGCGGGGACCGTTTCTCCAAAATGAGGACCCAGCACCACAGGATGGTTGGAACAAACAGGGTTGGCGGAGGGGGGTTTCTTGCCGGTCTCCACGGCGTCCGCGAACGTGGGTTTCAGTAGTTTCAGGTCTATCTCCAGAGGTCTTGCACCTTGCATCCTTGCCCCTTCGGCCCATTCCTGGCAACGTTTGCTGGCCAGCCCGGCTCGAAAAACGTCAGCATGGCTTTCCAAGACTCCTGCATCCGTATTACAGTCGGACCAAAGTGTAAGATCGAGATCGGTTCGGGGAGGGTACCCTAATGTTCTTCGTGTTTGTTGGATGTTCTTGTGCATCCTGGTGGAGAGTACCCTCGAATATTCTTCAGTTTGGCCAGCGGAGGGTCTCATGTTCTTGAAGGATGTTCTTCTGTCATAGGTCCGGCCGTATTGCCACGTGTGTGTTTGTATGCGGCCTCCCCCTCTCGCCCTCCTCGTTTCTCCATCCGTTCTCTCCTCTTGTGCTCGGGATTCCTCTTCCTCTTCATTCCTCCACTTCGTCCCGCTGCAGGTCCCGTCACGCGTGTCTCGCACTGTCCCCTGTATTCGACATGGTGGAAGCGGGCCTTGAGGGAAACGGGTCCTAAGGTTTTCCACCGTTTTTGGCTTACCGAGGCCCTCCACGGGCCCCAGGACTGTTCAGAAGACGACTCAGGATGAAGAGCTGGTCCCGAGGGAAGGCCCCAGGGTCCAGGACCCGTTTCTTTCAAGACCCGTTGCCGCTTTGCTAATGTATACCTCCTCCTCATAGTCCCAGATGGTTGTTCCATCCTCCTCCCCTTCGTCTCCATGTGTCTAGCACTGCATGCTTTCCAGAAAAGCCAGATTCCAAACGCCACTTCCTCACCCACCTGGCCTTCGTTCGTAGCGGTGGTCGTTCGTTCATCTTTTGGGGGCCCGAGTCGTCCTTTTCTGCGTTCCCGCCGCCCTCCCCTCGCGCGCGCAGCCTGAGTTCTCACGGGGCGCCACCTCTCTCTTGACAGCCCCCGCGCCGCAGGCGGCGGTCGTGGAGTTGCCTGCAAGAGATCCCGAGGCGCCAGCCGCGTGAGGGGGCCTGCGTGGCGAAGGAGGAGGAGACAGGGGCAGGGGCGACGCGGGGCGCGCGGCCTCGGCGGCCGCCCCGGGCCCTCGGGAGGGGAGCTCGTGCAGTCGGGCTGCTGGGAATGAGCGGGGGCTCGAGGCCGGAGGAGCACGAGGTCCGAGGATCGAGGATCGCGAGGGGCGAGGATCGAGGACCACGAGGGATCGAGGATCCGAGGATGGCGGGTTCGAGGTCCGAGGACCTGCAGCCAGCCCGCATCGCACGGATGCGCGGCAAGGATGCAAAGGCCTTGGCAGGCCATGTCGGCATTGTGCGAGCGGGGCGCGGCCAGCGAAGGTCGCTGAGGATGGGCCGACGGGGGCGAGGATGCAAGGGTACCCTTGGGAAGGGCGCCCATCCTTGTCATGCGGGTTGGCTGCAAGGAGCGCTGAACATCAAGAACGAGGCCCCTTCCTGGCACCAGACGTGCCTGGGTGCACGAGGAGGGCCAGGGGAACAACCGCGGAATGCCTGAAAGGAAACAGCGAGCCCCTTTCGCTCCCAAGCGGCTCCTGAATCCAGCGTCGTGCTTGCAGAGTCTCGGTTCCCTGGCGCGGAGATCCCGAGCGGGGTCCGATCGAAGCGGCCGCGCTGCGGCCCCCTCCCCCCTCCACTCCTCCTCAGACGTGCACGGCTCCCCTTTTCTGATTGCGCATGCCGCGATGCTTGGCATCGCTCGGTCGTGTGCATTTTTCCTTCGGCGAGGACGATCGAGGAGCATCCTTGATCATCTGGCAACAAAAACCACGCACGAAACCGAACAAAAACACAGGGAACGGACGTCCGAGCGATGCCCAGCGATGGTGCGTACGCTGGGGGGGCCCAGGTCCGCCACGCCACCCTGTGGCGGACACCGGACAGAGCAAAGCGCAGTGGGAGAGGGTGCGCGGAAGGGCAGGAGGTCCGACACGGCGCGAGCGCGCCCAGCTTGACCTCCTCCTCCTCCCTCCTCCTCCTCCTCCCTCCTCCTCCTCCTCCTCCTCCTCCTCCTCCTCCTCCTCCTCCTCCTCCTCCTCCTCCTCCTCCTCCCCCTCCTCCTCCCTCCTCCTCCTCCTCCTCCTCCTCCTCCTCCTCCTCCTTCTCCTCCTCCTCCTCCCTCCTCCTTTCTCCTTCTTCCCTCCTCATCCTCCTCCCTCCTTCCTCCTTCCTCCTCCTCCCTTCTCCTTCCCTTCCTCCCCTCCTCCTCCTCCTCCCTCCTTCCTCCTTCCTCCTCCTCCTCCTCGCCTCCTTCCTCCCTCCTCCTCCTTCCTCCTCCTCCTCCTCCTCCTCCCTCCTCCTTGTTCCTCCTTCCTCCCTCCTCCCTCTCCCGTGCCGGCGCGGGCGGCGGCCCTCTGGCGCCGGGCCCGCCCGCGCTGCCCCCGAGGGCGCCTGCCTCGGCGGGCCCAGCGCGAGCGGCAGGGGCCGCGGGCACGCGGCGCGCTGGCCCCCCCCCCGCTGTGCAGGGCCTCCCGGGTGGGGCCGGAGCCAAGACTCCTCCTCCTTTTTCCTCCTCCTCCTCCTCCTCCTCCTCCTCCTCCTCCTCCTCGTCGTCCTCCTCCTCCTCCTCCTTTTTCCTCCTCCTCCTCCTCCTTGCTCTTCGTCGTCTTTTTGCCTCTCCTCTCTTCCTCCCCTTCGCGCCGCCCCTTGGGTGAGAATCTGGGAACGACACCGTCCAAGCCTTCTGGGAGGGCCTCGATTTCGTGACGGTAGGCATGGGCTGCAGAAGCGAGGGCCGCTAAGATACTCTTGGAAAATTCTGACGCGCATCCTGAGCCAAGCCTCTCTCGGGGGTGGACAGAACCCCCAACAGTGGCACGTCGATTAGTGAATTGTCCGTTTTCGGTTTTTCCAGGCTTGCGCCCGCCAGGTTTGGGCCTCAGGTCGTTTTCACTGAACCACGTTTTGCTATCCATCCCCGAAAGACGGGGCGGGAGGATCGCGCCGCAGCGCCGATGCGTCGCCGATGCGGTTCGATGCGGAGTCCGATTTCTCTTACCCTCTCGTCGCCGATGCACCGCCAACGTCGCCGATGCATTGCTGGTGCATCGCCGATGCATCGCCGATGCATCGCCGGTGCATCGCCGATGCATCGCCGATGCATCGCCGATGCATCGCCGAAGCGGCGCGATCCCCCGACCATCGTGTCCGAGCCCATCTAGGAGGCCTCTAAGGCGAAAGGTTGCAGGGCTGGTCCCGTAGACGCGCCAGCGGCGATGTAGGTTTCGGCGCTGTAGGTTTCGGCGCTGTAGGCGGGAGTGCCTCGTGGCCAAACCGATTGCAGGACATCGTAGTTCGTGCAATTCCTGCAATTCGCTGCGTCGCTGTCGCTCGAGACGTTCGCACATTTGAGATGTAGGGAAGTGTGGTTCGTGATTTCCTAGCATTTGTTCTGCGCGAGCTCGGCGTCACAAGAGTCGGACTCCCAACATCGCCGTTAAAACCAACATCGCCGTTAGCGCGGCCTTGGTGGTCGTCTGCGGGAAACGCTGGCAGGCGGAGCTGGCGCAGAGGATGTGCTGCTGCGCCCGGTGCGCGTGGTCGCGCCAGTCGCTCGCGGGCGAGCGTTCGCAGCGTGCCCCGGTCGGCGGGCGGTCAGCTCGTGCCCGAGAGCGCGCGGCTCGGCCCGGGCGCGGAGGCATGGACCGCGTTGGGGGCTCGGCGGGGGCTCGCGGCTCCGCGGGTACTGCCATGCCTGTTTTTTCTGGCCCTCCTCGCGCCGCCAGGCGCTTCCCGTGCCAGGGAGGGGCCGCGCTCTTGATGCTCAGCGCTCCTCACAGCCAACCCGCCCAGTGAGGCTGGGCGACCTCGCTTCCTGGCAGCCCTTCCTTGCAGCCGTTCCTCACAGCCAGACCGGCAGCCAACCCTGCCAGAGAGGGGCTTTGTTCCTCGTTCCGTGCTCCTTGCTTCGGCGGGCGGACTGTGCAGTCGAGCTTGATGATCGGGGGTGGACAGAACCCCCAACAGTGACACGTCGATTAGTGAATTGTCCGTTTTCGGTTTTCGAGAGGGCGCCGTTGCCGTTATTTTCCAGGCTTGCACCCGCCAGGTTTGGGCCTCAGGTCGTTTTCATCAAACCACGTTTTACTAAAGGGGGTTTTGTCCCCCCTGCCAAGTCGAGGGCACCCTCGTGCCCCGTGTGCTCGCGGCCCACGCCTCCCGCTCTCCTGCGGCAGCGTGGCCCTCGGCAGGGCCTCGTGTCTTCTCGCGTGCACTCTCCAGGCAACCCCGCCCGTTGATGTTGTTGTACTTTTGCGATACCTTCGACGACGACGGCGACGGCGACGGCAATATCAATGGCAACGGCGACGACGACGACGACGACGACGACGGCGATAACGACGACGACGACGACGACGGCGGCGACGGCGGCGGCGGCGACGGCGACGGCGACGGCGGTGGCGCCGGCGACGGGAACGGCGACGGCGACGGCGACGGCGACGACGACGGCGACGGCGACGGCGACGGCGACGAAGCGCACAGGGGGGCTAACCTCCCTTGAGATGCGAGAGGGGGCAGGGCGCGGGGGTCCCCCGCTTTGACGCCAGCGCAGGCGACATCGTGCAGCAACGACGACGACGACGACGATGACATTGACGACATTGACGGCGGCGACGGCGACGGCGACGGGGACCAGCGACGGCGACGGCGACGGCGACTGCGACGGCGACGGCCGCGGCGACGGCGACGGCGAGATTGCGACGGCGACGGCGGCGGTGGCTTTGGCGACGGCGACGGCGACGACGACGCGCACGGAGCCCTCCTGACTGGCCGTCGGGGGCTGTCGGACTGGGGGGGGGCCCCCCGCAATCGAAGACGGTGAGCGGCAGCGACGACGACGGCGACGGCGACGACGTCGACGACATCGACTTCGATTTCGACGACGACGACGACGACGACGACACGACGACGACGATGACGACACGGCGACCACGACGACGACGCCTTCGACTTCGACTTCGGCGACGATAACGATAGCGACGACGACGACGACGTCGAGGCGACGGCCACGTCGACGGCAACGGCGTTCGGCAACGGCGACGGCGAGGGCGGCCACGTCGACGGCAATGGCGTTCGGCGACGACGTCGACGCGCGCACGGGGGTGGGGAAGCGGGTTCGAACTCCGCCCCCCCTGAAAAGTCCGGAGGGCCCCCCCGAACCCCCCATTTGGACACGAGTAGGGGGCCCTCGGGTCTGAACCCCCCTGGACAGGGGAGGGGATCTTCCCCGGTTCGAACCTCCCCTGAGCCCCAGTTAAGGAGGCCAGTGTCCAGGGTGGAGGGGGCGCTCCCCGTCTCTCCAGGGGCGCCCACTGTTTTCGGAGGGGGTGGGGGCGGTTCCAACGTGTCAAGTTGCTTTTCAACCTGGCAAGCATCCACGACGCGCGTTCTTCCCTACATCTGGAGCGCGTGCGCGCCCCGGCGCGGCTGGGGCGCCAATCCAGGGGGGGCACCGTGGCCGCCACAGTGCAGTTGGACGGCGAGACGAGGAGGGAGAGGAGGACCAGTGTAAACTCAAGAATGGTCCACGATGTTGCATCAAAACCCTCTTTCCAACATTTTTCTTCATCGGTCCCATACAAGACTTCGTTTTCACTGGGGGACGTGGCGACGTTGGAAGACAACCGTCTGGTAATCCTGAACCATGCGCCACCATTCCTGGGACTTCAGCGCCGCGAAGGAACATCACTGTTGCGCCCTGACAATCCTCAAGCGTGCCAGAGCACCATTCCAGGGGGGAATTCGACAATGCGAATCAACGAACATGGTGCGCTCTGACAGACATAGATCGGCAAAAACACCATTTCTGGGACGTTAGCCATACGAATAACCGAAAACGTTGTAAACTCTTGTGAAGAATGCGCGCGGCGCTGAGACGAGAACCGTATTTTGAAATGGTACCGGCCTCCATCCGCGAATGTCCTAATTTGGTGGGCGAATTCGCGCGGCGCGAATGCGAAAGTCACATTCTGAGAAAGATCCGCATTCCATCCGTGAAGCGATGGTTAAGTATTCAAGACAAGCGTCGTCCCGCTACTTCTTACTTTTAAAACTGGGATGGAAGAGGAAGAGGACGAGGAGGAATACGAGAAACATGATGGCAACCGATCAGACCAGGGGTGCATAAAGCAAATCGGGGGGAGGCTCTGGGGGGAAAGGAGGGCGAAACGACGACGACCACGACCACGACCACGACCACGACCACCACCGAGACACCACCACGACCGCGACCACGACCCCGACCGCGACCGAGACCGCGACCGAGACCGCGACTACGACCGCGACCGCGACCACGACCACGACCACACCGGGGGGGGGGGCGACGGCGACGGCGACGGCGAGGGCGGGCGCGAAGCCGCCGCCAGCCGACGACGAGGGCGCCGACGGCGAGGACGAGCGCGGGCGAGCTGGGACGAGGCCCGCCCGCGAGGGGGGCGGGCCCGAGCGGAGCGGCCGCGGGGCGGAGCGCGGCGGCAGCGGCGCCGAGGGGCGCGCCGGCCGCGCCCCCCGCGGCCCGCCAGGCGGCCGCGAGGCGGCGCGCGGAGCTCCGCGGGCTGCTGCCCGAGAAGGAGGCGCGGCCCCGCAAGCGCGCCGCCCGCGCCGGCGGCAACTCGTGGGGCGCCCTGGGTCTCGGGGGCCCCTAAACGGTGCGGTGACCACACCGTGCGGTGAGTCGGTGGGGATTCGGGGTCACCGTACGGTCTTGGGACTCGGGTCGTTCTCCGAGGACGTCTCGGGCGACAGGGGCCTAGGCTCCGAGGTCCCAAGACCGTGCGGTGACGGACCGTGCGGTGAGGCCTTCGCGGATTTCGAGGTCACCGCACGGTCTGTCACCGCACCGTTTCGGGACTCCCAGTGGGTCGGCTCGGCATCGCCAGGACGCGCGTGGGTGTTTTCTGTTTCGGCGAGGACCTCCGTGGGCCCTGGGGACGACAGGGCCGTTTTTGTTGCCGGTTCCGTGCTGCCGTTTTTGTTGCCGGGTCCGACGCCGTTTTTTTACCGGTTCCGGCTCCGGTTCCAATCCTGGAGCCGTTTTTGTTGCCGTTTCCGGTCGCCGTTTTTTGCCGCTTCCATGTTCAAGGGACATCTTTTGGAAACGGTGAAAAAACGGCTTTGCCGTTTCCGGGGCCCACAAAAATGCGAGGACCATCGAGGAGTGTGTCGGGCCATCCTGCGAAGAGAACGGCGCGCGGGGCGCCGCGGGAAAGCGCACGGGGAGTGGACGCACGAGCGACGACGAGGAGACGGGGGTCAGTGCAAAAGAGGGTGCCGCGTCAGGGTTGCATCGACTCAAGGTCCCGCCGCGCAGGATCCTGCAGGATTTTGCAAGATCTTGCAGGATCCTGCCAGGCCCGACTGACCCGGGTGTGCGCTCACCAGGGTCACTAAATGCCCCAGCAGTTCCAGGCACGATCGAAATTGGTACGGAAGGAGAGGGCACGAATACCAGCTTCAGTTCTTGTTCATTTTGAGCAAGATTCGCTGTCGGGATCGTCGTGGGCGTTGTCCATTCGAGGCAGAAGGCCGCATGCCTATCAGAGGCCGCTGTCGGGTTTGGACAGCCTTCTACTCTTGGGTATCGCACCAATGTTTTCCGCATCAACTTCGGGCGTCCACAAGCTTATGGAAGCCACAGGAATCTAGACCTCCCAGATGGGCCAGGGCCAGAAAAAAACGGGTTCGATTACGCCGACATTGGCGCGTAAGTTGCTCGCGTACGGTCGCGCGCAAGGGCCCTCGCTTCCAGCGTGGCGTCCCGCGCTGGCGGTCCACGTAAGCCACCGCGTAAAGTCGCTATGCCATCTCGCGTAAGAGCCGGTTCTTTTCGTTGCTAAAGGTGTGGTTGCGCCTGGGTGTGGTTTGCGATCGGCGCCGTCGGGGCCTGGGGGGCACGACGCTGTCCTCGTCAGGCCTCCTCGGGGCGCGGCGGAGCCCCCCAGGGTGTCCCCTGGGGTGCCCGTTGCAAAGCACACCCTTTGCACAACCACACCCTTCGGAGTCGCCGATGAGAACCTAGGCCTCCCAGATGGAGGCCGAGCAGATGTTGTCGGAGGATCGCGACGCATCGCCGATGCATCGGCAATGCAGCTCGATGCGCAGCCCAACTTTCTCCACGCCGATGTCGCCGATGTATAGCCGACGTCGGCGATGCGCGGCAATCCTGCGACTGCATCCACTCAGATCACATCCAGAAGGCCTCCAAATAATGATAGCTCACAAAACCCTCAAACATAATGCTACATGCGCAACACTGTTCCACTGGTTGCAATCTGCTTGGCGTTGGGACCCTAGAACCCTAGACTGGCAACTTGCGTCACTCTTGACTCAGAGTGCTCCTGGGAGCCTTGTACATCTTCGAGACTCAGTTGATAGAATGACTCCGCGCGCGTTCGCTCCTCAGAATCGATGTAGCTGCGCCGATCTAGCGTCGATTCAGTTGGCGTCGATTTGCAAGAGCTCGCAGGACGGCACGGGAGGCTCCCATGAGTTGCCACAGAAGCGTCTTCGCCCGCGCGCGTTCGCGCGCGCGCTCGAGTCTGCGCCAGCGCCACGCCGGCTCTGGCGCCGATCGCGTCTCATGTTCGAGGTAGTCGGGCGTTCTCATGGAGTCCCAGCGGCATTCCATCAATGGAGGAAAAACCACCCGGAGCGAACGGCCCTGGGCGTTTATCAAGCAGCCCTGCCCTGTTTGATTCCCTCTCTGGGCGCGTTTGCGGAACGGCCTCGCGTGTGGGGGTGGTCTGTCATCGGGGCGGAGACTCTGCCCTCCCATGAGAAAGCCACGGGGTGCTCGCCAGCGGCTGCGCTGCGCCGAGGGGCGCCTCCGGGGCTTGCCCCGATCGTGCCGAGCGGCCGCCCTGAGAGCCGAGCTGCGGCCCGAAGGCCCGAGGGGGCCGGGCCGACCCTACAAGGTCCTGGCGTCGCAGTTGTGTGTTGCAGCGGGCGACTTGCGCCTCGTGTCTGGCCCCCTGGGCCCTCGCGGACCGCTGCGGCTCGAAGAGTGCCGCAGGACGGAGGGTGCCAGGGCGCTGGCTTTTTTTGTTGTTGTTGGGTGCGTGCGCGCGTGCGCGCGCGCGCGCGCGCGTGCGCGTGCGCGTGCGCGTGTATGTGCGTGTGTATGTGCGTGTGTATGTGCGTGTGTATGTGTATTTGTGTGTATGTGTATTTGTGTGTGTGTGTTGGGGGGGGGCGGGATGGGTTTTTTTTCTTTCCCCTGGCGGCAACAGGCAGTCACGTCACGATTCGCGCCGGCGCCGTCTGGGAATGCTCAGGAATGGCTCATCCCCATATGGCGCTGGCGCGAATCGTGACATGACCAGCGGGGAGTGAGAGGGGGAGTGGCGGGGCTGGTCACGGTCGCCATCGCGAGGAAGGATCATTGAAGAGTGCATGCTGTATTTTTTTCGTTGTGTCGAGTCTCAGTTCAGGAAGGAAAATTCACAGACCCAAATAAACGCCGATTCCCATTGAAATATTCGACAATCTGGGAAGTGGAGGGGTAAACGAAAATCCAGAGAACATGGAAACATTCAGGGAATCCTGGCAGTTGTGTGTGTGTGTGTGTCCCTGGCCCCCTTCATCAGGGCTGTCCGCGCCCTCAGCGCTGCCTCCTCGCCCCTCGGCGGCCCGCGGGAGGCGCGTGCGGGAGGCGGGGCGTCGGCGAGGGGGGGGGCGCCCCGCCCGATGTGTTGATGCTGAGCTACACTGGCAATGCCTCGCTGTCTCGGGGCCTTGCTGTGTTCGTTCAGCCACGCGCAGACGGTGGGTAGGGAGAGGGGGGAAGGTTTCTTACCAGACAAATCCGGGGGAGGCTTGTCCAAGGGGGGGTGTCTGGAGGGGTTGTCCGGATCCCCGCTGGGTTGTCCAAGGATTTGTTCAGCGTAGGCCGTTTTGTCATCATGAATCAGCAGGGGTTGACCAGATTGTCCAGGGGGTTGTCCGGGTTCTTTTCGATCGGATGTTTGTTCTTGTGAGTATGGTCGTAGGAGGTTTCTTAGCAGGCACGGGCCTTGTCTGTAGATGTAAGGCCTGCGCCTTCTAAGAAGCAGCCTGCTTCTAAGAAGCCTTCCTCCCTCCCCCGACCCCCTTGTGCGCGCCGCCAAGTCTTGCCCGCTGGAGCATTTGACGCGGGTGCGGAGCTCCGCTGTCGGCGCCACGCTTTCCTCTGGCTCCGCCGCGCCCACGTCACGAACGCACACCGTCCGAGGCGGCGGAGACCTCGAGAGACCCAGCCAACAGAGGGAGGGGCGAACGCGGGGCGTCGGCGAGGCGGGGGGGGAGAGGGCCGCCACGGAGTGAGGAGGTGATCCTGGGCGGCCAGGGGCCCGGGAGGGTCGCCACCCTCCGCGCGGCCCCCATCGGGCCTCGTCGGCCCGCGGGAGGATCGCGCGGGCGGCGGGGCGGGACGAGCGCGGGGGCGCCGGCGGGGCGGGGAGGCCGCCACGGAGCGGGGCCCACTTCGATCCGATCCGATCTCGACTCCTGCGGGCCCAATGCGGTGCCGACCTTGCGGCAAGCCGGTGCGGCCCGAGTCTTGCGTGCGCGCCGTTATGCATCTCGGCGCGGCCCGAGCTGGTTCGGTTCCGACTCCGTGCCGATGATTCTCGATCCGACGCACCTTGCGACTCGATCTGATGTCCCGGCTCGTTGATCGTTGCTCCTTCCCCCTACGCACAGGGGCCCGCGGAGGGTCTCCAGCTGCTCTCGGGCCCTCGGGCCCCTCGAGGCCCTTCCCCAGGCGTGCAGCCGAAGCGCTGGGACAGGGAGCAGCTCGGGTTCGGGGCTAGCTCGCTGCTCCACAGATCCTTGCATGATCACCGTTCCTTTTGGCGCTCCTCGTGTACCCAGGCGCTCTTGGGCCGAAAAGGGCCTTCAGAGGCGACGACAGGGGCGAATAGCCCAGGGGAGAGCAATACATGTATCCAGGGGCGCCGATGATTTATGTCTTCGACGAGGCTCCCGGGCGAATACATGTACTGCCCTCCCCTGGGCTATTCGCTCTTATCGTTGCCTCCGAGGCCTGAGCTCCTCACTCCTCGATCCTCGTGGTGGTAGGTAGCTATAGACTGCATCATGGGGCGATCGCGACACGGCAGGCCCCAGAACGAGGCAGATGTGCTGGCCGTGGGTCTCCCGAGGCGCCCGGGTGTCGAGGTGCCTTGGGGGAGAACCTGGAAGAGGAAGAGGAGGACTCATCAGAAGGAACGCAGTGACGGTGAACCTCAGGCAGCTCTCACAACTAAAAGCTGCTCCGTGTTAGGGAGGAACATGTGGAGGGGGACAAGGAGGATGAGAGAGAGGAGGAGCAGTAGCAGGAGGAGGAGGAGCAGGAGCAGGAGAAGGAGCAGGAACAGGAGCAGGAGCAGGAGGAGGAGGAGGAGCAGGAGGAGTAGGAGGAGGAGGAGGAGGAGGAGGAGGAGGGGGATCAGTATGTGAAGGAGGAGGAGGAGGAGGAGGAGGAGGAGGAGGAAGGAGGGAGGAGGAGGAGGAGGAGGAGGAGCAGGAACAAGCAGCAGGAGCAGGAGCAGGAGCAAGGATGAGGAGGAGGATGAGGAGGAGAAGAAGGAAGAGGAGCAGTAGGAGGAGCAGGAGG